GCTGGCCGGGAGATGGCTGTCACAAACGCCTCGGGCATTCCGGTCGTCCTTTACCTCAATGTTGTAGCTACAATCAGACACATTGTGGCCTCCTCAGGTGTAGCTGACATCTGAGTGCTGTACAGAGCTAAGTATGTACAGCACTACAAGAGATGTCACACACCTCACCACAGAATGTGTCCTTACATTATTCACCAAGTTCAGTAGATTGCATGTCTTATACCTGCTGCTCCCCAAACTGTTTCTCATGCACCATGCCTCCCTCCTCTAGTGTGGTCTCTATATTACCCACAGTGCTGCTTGATGTGTGAAAGTATCAACTCTGGACCTTTGACCCTTTGCAGAGCTGAGTGACGTGTGGTCCATCTCCAGCATCAATGTGCGGCCTGACCTCCGGAGCATGCCCAGTTCACCCAGTACCCCTCACCTGCCCACCATCACAGAGGAGTGACTGGGGGAAAGAGAGAGAGAAGGATTCACATAAGAGATGAAAGGTTTATAGTGTTAAAGCCCCTGAAAACTTGGTCTAACACTACTAAGTAGTTAACCACATAAAATTGGATTTAAAAATAAGTTTACCACTGAAAAACTAGATGTGATGTGTGGGGTTTGATTTAGCTTCAAATGTTGTAACATACCTTTTAGCTGTCTAAGCCTTACACCACTCCATAGTGTCAGTTCATGTCAAATAAACAAAACTGTTCTGTCTTTGGCAGAAGGTTGTATGTTCATGTTGGGCCTTATCACTTGTAGTAAAAAGCTTGTTCAGAACAGGGGCTAGACTTTAAAGAGAAAAGATCGTGTTTTCAAATTAAAGGGGGATTTTGTTCAGCGTTTTAAAAGCCAAGGCAAAATGACCAAAACCAGAACAGAGAAGATGTTTCAGGTGAAGACAGAGACAGCACCTGTCTTGTCTTTCCCCTCCCTCCTCTCCATTTATGGGCCCAGCGACAGAGCAGAGACTGTGGACTTGAGCCTAGGAGCACTAGTGTCCGACTCCATACTGTAATCTCATTGAGAGCTGCCCAGGCGGTGAGGACAGTTAATCTCCAACCCAGAGACCGACATGCTTGAGAACATTTTCATCTCTGGTTATTCAACACCACCAGTGGAACTCAACCAGGCAAGACGTCAGTGAAACTAACCCTCTCAACAGAAAGAAGAAAACCATGAATACATGCTGCTGTAGTAATATGGGAGCTGCTTTCACTTTGTCAATCTTGTGTTTCTAGTTGATAAAAACCAAGTGGTTAGCCAGAGGCAGAGTGGAGGTGGGTGGAAGCTGACACTGATGGAAACTGTAACTATCGAGCAGGAGACATCTGGACGATGGTTACAAGGACCGAGTATCTTCAGGTCAAATTCTGCTTTTTCATTTTCAGCTGTACAGAGGTATCGGGTGCATCAGACCAAAACTCAACCGATGTGTGAACTCTACAATGTTGGACTGACAGAGTGAATGTAACCCCAGAGTTTCGAGAAAGTGGTGTTAGTTTGTATTGGATGGAAGTCGATTCAGTTCAGTGCCAAATGTATCAGCTGCTGTAAATTAAATCAAGCTGCTTTTAGAGGAGCCACGACTCTGTATGAGGCAGGGAACACTGCATCTCTCTCCTCACATAAACGCACACATGGCTTTCTGTGATTGTACACTTCATCTGTGCTACACTATGATGTTGTAACTTGCACTGATGTTAGATCTGATATTCAGAGTGTCTTGTCAACTTTTCAGGTGTGAAAGCCATGAGGTTATGGGCCTTGATTTTCTGAGGAGTTTTGCCACAGAGTTGGAACTGAAGCAGGACATGCTGCAGTAAGTGCCATTTAAAAAAGAGACTCAATCACTTTATCAACCTCAGAAGAGTTGTACAGGAATTTATTTTGAAAATATAATAGTATCTGACAAATCTCTATTGCAAGGAATTGGTGTAATCCGGTGGGCTGCTCATGACATTTAACCTGCAGCCTGAGTACATGTGCACAGAAGCTCACCTTTCATTTAGCATTTAGTCTTTCAGTCTGTTATTTTGAGACTTTGATAAATATTGGACTTTTTAAATTTAGGTTTTGGTTTGATTTTGGTCTTGTGTAGACTTGAGGCTGTGTGTTTTGTTTTTTTTGTGCCAGCCTTCACACACAGCTGTGGTTGTTCTGACTGAGGTGGTGCTGAACCATGTCTGATGTTTGTGGACTATTTATTTTGTCTTAAACTTTAAGGCAACAATCAACCTCTGAATGATGCCGTGGTCAATGTTTCCATTGGTCCTGAAGACAAAGACAAACGGTGCCAATATAACCTCAAAATAACTTAGTTATTACAGTACAACCAAGCAACTTGGTGCACTGTAATATGAATGAGTTTGGCACTTAGTTTAACTGCTATTTGTGTTCCTGTTTAGAAATAGTAACGGTTCTGCTGGTTAGGCAAAGCTTTTTAGCTGCAGTTAACCTGATGTTACCCCCTGTAAGTCTAGTGAGCTGGATGTCCTTTAGAGATGCGCTGCTTCCCCAGCCTTGCAGGAGTTGGGTTTATCCAGCTTGTGCCTTTTAGGTGCTTTCTTAATAATGCTGCACCAAAATCTTTTTAGCATCAGACACTCAGCTTGTGCGGACTTCAGCGGCCTCTGTAAAGATCTTTCTGCTGCTGATTCAAGTGATGACCAGTTGAAAATGGTAGCCTAACTTTATAGAAATGTCTGTATTTCCTAAAACACAGTTGGGTATAGAGGCCAGAGGTCAAAGCAGCATGCTCTGATTGGGCAACACATTTACTGCACAGTAAATATAACCTACCCTCTGGAGTGCAGGAGACCCTGTTCTCCTATGAAAATTTCTAAAATCACTGCAGTGTGTGGTGTGTGACATCTTTTGTAGTGCTGTATGTTTTATTCTAACAAAAAGTGACTATTAGGCACATACAGAGAAGTGGACAGCCTGACAGCAGAGACAAACTAGTAGCTAACATACACATATGCTTGGTATGTGCAACTCAACCAAGCAAGGCAAATTTTGTCAAACTCCTTTGGCATCCTGAAGCAGAGATTTATTCTCAGCCTCTATTTTAGCATTTAAATTGTGGCTGTATTCCATTGTTTTCACACGCATGTGACCTTTGCATGCTGCTCTGCACTTCAGCAAAGACAAGGTGAACAAACTTTAATTTGTGTGTTCAAACCACAAAGAAAAAGAAGAAGCATAAGGACAATCAGTGATCCACAGAGGAGCCAGGTGTGGTCAGGCCCCCTGCTTCTCATTTAGACTCAGCCACCTTCGCTCCAGACCTGTGAACAAAGTGACTTGATGCGTTGAAAGGATTTTCTTGGCGAAATTTTGTTTGATTTCTTTCTGTCATGACCCAGTCAGTGCAGCATACATTGAATAGGATTTTGCAGGCTGTGTTTGAGGTCAGTGCCCTTGTAAACAAATAATTAAGTGGAGTAAAGAATTTGACCACACAGGTAGAAATTGTCCATAACAGAGTTGTTTGGTTTTGGCTATGATGGTACAAAGGCGGATGTGATTGTGCGCTGAGACGCTGGCTGCTGTTCCTTTAAATGTGACATCTATTGATTCTGATTACAAAAAGACCATTGTACAAGTCATGTAAAATGGACAAAGGTGTGGAGTTAGAAATGCTCCTTGAAATTGAGTGTCAGAGAGATCTGAAGTGATGTGCACACCGGCTATTGTCAGTGAGCTGCAGCACTGGGTGCTGAGGAAAATAACCTATGATATAATGTTTTAATATTATAATGTGGGTAAAATTGTCCAGACAATGCAGTTCTTTAAAAAAGGTTTCATCACTGTAGCATTTTACATCCTGTGCTGTACCGAGTGGCTTTTTCTTCAGTTTGATTTTATAGAAGTGTTCCCAGCTTTTGACTTTTAATTTTTTTTTTTTACTGTAACTTTCTCTGACTGTAAATGCTTCGTCATCTGGTATTAAAGCATTAGAAGAAAAGTTTGGTTGTTGGCAGCACTGTCTGTGCTTTCTCTTTTCAGTGTTTGTATGGATGATTGAATGATTCTGTTTGCTGCAGCTCTGCATTAACAGCTTTGCACAGGATTAGTATTTTGAAAAGTATCAGTCAGTATCAGTATTCAGTATCATAATCTTCCTCATTTCAAAGCTTAGATCAGCAAAAATCAGATCTGTGCCACTGTGAAGTGGAACAACTGCTCTGTTTTTAATGCAGCTACAGGTGGAGGGAGAGTCGCCGGGTGAGTAGAGTTAAAATGTTCAAAATGTTTCTGGTTTTTCAGGACATGTTCAGTCTTCTGTGAGCTTTCTGTTCCAGGTGAGTGTCTCACTTGTTCTTTTTTTATTAATGTTTATTTATCTGCCTGAGACCTCAAACTTACCAAAATTGCAGACTCCTGAACTTTGACTTGATTTAAACAGGGCAAAACAAAAACTTAAAATCTTAGCATAAACATTGACTCGGAGGTCTTGTGCAAAAGTGATTCAAAGTGTATTTCTCATGAACTACTGCACCTCTCATTTTGAACTCAGTCACAATTGTTCATCACTCTTTTTTTGATGCAGGTCCAGATCCAGATGAGAAACGTTTTTAAAACCTCATATTACAGCTCAGCCTCTGTGCAGAGGTGAGTTTGCTTCAGTTGTTTCAGAATGCCCACCTTGGTAAATCTGAGAACTTCATTTTTATCTTTTAATATCAGCATTTAAGTTTAGTTGAGACAAATTTAACTATGCTGGAAAAAGTGTAACATGCAATGGTCATTTTAATGATGGAAATCTATACATCAGTATTAAAAAACTAAGCCCTAATATCAAACTGTTGCATTAAATAAACAATTACAGGCCTGTTTCTAGAGCAGCAGAAATTCCAGCACTTGCACAAGTGATGTCTCGTCCATCGTTGTTTATTTATAGTCGTACTTACAAATGTGCAAGTGAACAATCTGTAAAGCCTGAGGAGGCTGCAAAGTGAAACACAGATGTGATCACAGCATCCCTTGCATGTGCAGGAATTTCTACTGTATGATTCTGTCTGCAGTTTTTGTTTGCTGCAGCTCTGCATTAACAGCTTTGCACAGGATTAGTATTTTAAATAAATGTTAACCTGTTTGGATCTGAGGCCAGATAATATAGCTCTTCTAAACCCAAAAAAAGAGGGAAACTTTGAGAATGTTATATTTAAAGTGATGCAAAGATTAACATTTAAAACAGCAGGTTAGTCCTGAAAAAAGTATACAGCCATTAGTCAAAGGACAAACTCAGGAACTCTATTAAATTAAATGCAAGACCTTTTTAATACCATGTAAAATTTAATTCAGCAGCTTTTGCACAGTCTCATCGGTCCAAAGCAGATGGAAAAACCAGTAGGGACAATAAGGACTACAGTTATCATACATTAATTAATGTCAATAAATTCATCTAACATGTTTGTCAGTACTTCCCAGGTGT